AAATAGTAATCGTGTGCACGTTTTAGTACATCGAGGGAACGAATTAGTAAATCGTGATTTATTTTTTCTTGCATGTCATGTGCGGGGCTCCGTAATTATGAGACAGATCAGACGAGGTATTTTCTAAACAGTTACTTTATTGATGCTTGACGTGTACAGAGAGGTGAATTATTTACGTGAGGTGAGATACAGGAACATTTTGAGAGGAATACAGTTATGTCACATTTCAGCACCACTGCATGCAGTACCATAGTAAACATGGTAACCTTCACATTCCATCCTTTAAAGGCAATTGAAATTAGACAAATCGACTAATTAATACAAAAAACAAACAAACAAATGTTTTCTATTTTCAAAATGGCACCATGGTTGACTTTAGATTTCAGTTGCAGTTAAAAATCAAGTGTAATTCTGCATTTTAGCAGTAGTAAACTCATGAGGTACTGTGAACAGATCCCAGAGCAGCCAATAATACTGAATTACAACATGCTATAAATAAACTATAATATAGTCAGTGTGCAGGAATGCCATCAAAAAATACTGAATGTTAGAAAACAATATCTGAGGACTTCCCGGACTGAAATACTGAACGAAACCATGACCTAGAAATACAAACGCTTCAATAAGAGTCGATTCATTTGACCTTTTTGGACTTATTGACGTAACAAACACTGTAATCTGCAACATACTATCGCTGTGACCTGTTGTTGAATTAATCTGATAAATAACCGCAAATGAACGGCTCTCCATTCTAAACATGAAGAGTTTACAGTATGAATACATCTGAAATGTGACGCGTATGAACACTTCCTCCGTTGAGATGTGACGTGGTGTCATTGGTTAAGGACTGCGCTGCGCTTTCATGAAACGTAAAGGAACATGATTCCCGTTTACTGTCAAACACACGTAGACACTGAACACACACACACACATCTGCAGTATGTGAATTAAAACTTGTGGAATGAATGCAAAATGAATCAGCATTTGTGTGTTCTTGAGGAAAACCTCTCATAGACGTCAGGCTCGTATTTCAACACAAAATCAAAAGAATCAATGAGAATTTGAAGGGAATGTGATTAAATATCATGACAACAATGTAACAATAGAGGAAAATATCTCAATGATTCAAAAGTAAAGATTCATGTGATTCTTCCAAGTAAAGATTCACATGTTCTGGAGAGTTTTGTAAGATTCAATATGGGAAGATTTGGACAAAATCTAAGTAACACGGTATTAAAGATTCAATTGCAGTCCATAAATCTAAGATCTAACTTGTATTTGTTTGAAATGATGAATACTGCAGATGAGTGTGGAGCCTCTACATACAGCAGAAAGAGAGCCAGACAGAGACGCTTCCTTGACCCATGATGCTCTAGGCTAATTCTTCACGTTTACTGAGTCCGCAGCTGATAGTCTGCAAAGAAAGAAGGAAATGAGCGATGCTTAATTAAATGCACAGAACGACAGGAAACGGGAAAAAACGGAAATACGGGGGGAAAGTTAATTGTGACAGCTGAACTTTCTCTCTCCACCCATCAAAACACAATCAAAAACTCCATCAGTCAATAAGATTGAGACATAGGTTCACAAAATGAACTTAAATGATGATTATAAACAGACGCTGGATGCAGTCGTGATAAAATACGCAGAACTCATAGAGGAAGACTGCTAACCGGAGTTTACACGATTGTAGAAAATTTAGCAACAATTTTGCAATATGTGCACTTGGTATTTCGTACATGGCTTTTAAATTTCATGTCATTAGACTAGTTTCACAACCCTGAGAGGGTTTAATAGTGTCTCTGGTTTAAACATCACTAGTAAAAACTTCATTTCACTTCTGTGAATCAGTTACAACTGTCCATTTTAATGAATTGATTCAATGACTTGTTTGTCATGCAGAATTTGTTAATAAATTCATCTTTAAAATGTCAAAAATACATGCACTATAAATATATATATATAACAATTTTTTGTAAACATAGAGAAAAAAATATTTCTGTATATAAATGACAATGTAATTATTGCGTTCATTTAGTAAAAAAAGAAAAAAGAAAACGTGCCTTGATAATTTTTAGCTTTTTATTTTGTAATTTGTTATTATTATTATTTTTTACTATTTATTAGCTACAGAAAAAAAACATTCAGAGCAAATACAAAAGATAGACAGATATCTAAAAAATATCTAGATGTAAAAATGTAAATCTTTTAAATAAAAAATGTATAAAAATGAAATTATGTATATAATTTATAATAATAATAATATATTTAAAAATTATATAATAACAAAATGTATTTAAAATTTAATATACATTTATATAATAACTATATATTTTTTAATTTTATATGACAAATATTTATATTTGAACTACTTTCATAATTTTTTTTATTTTGTAATTTTTAATATCTTTCTTATTTAATTAGCTACAATGAATGCTAGGTTAAAAATTATGGTTATGAATAAATACTTTCGTACTTTAGTTACTTTAGTTCACATACAGAAAAAGAACAAAATATTTTGTATGTATAGGTGGAACTGGTTGAAAAATACCTAGATAAAAAAAATAATAGTAGTAGTAATAATAATAATAATAATAAATATAATATAATATAAATAATAAAAAATATATAATATAATATAAAAATACATAAAAATATAACTCTTGACTACTAAAATATATGTGAAACATATGGAGCTCTCGGTTGTAACGATACACACTGTCAAAGTTCAAAATGCGAATTCGGAGAAAGAAAATCTCCTACAACATCATGCACCACACACTGTACCAGCGTTTCTAATTTTATCAGGGTTTCACCATCTCGCACGCGTCTGTCCTGAACATCCTCTTTTCACAGAACAATTTCACCTCCGCATTTAACACCAATCTCCCATCATTCTGCACTGCATTGCAGGTATTTGGCAACAATTAAGCAACACTGTGAAAAACAATGACAAAAATAGAGAAAGAGAAGAGAGGATGAGAGAGTGTTTTACCTCCGTTCTGGGTGATGTATCGCACCCACGGCAGGGCCTGATAGCCGCTCTTCTCAATGATCTTCAGGTAACGCACCTGTCAAAACACACGTCACTGTCATACATGCAATGCATTGTGGGTGAATTCATTTAGCCAAACCTGCTAAAGGCCTCCAAACACAATAGAAATAACAACCCATTCCAGGAATACAAAACAATAGCTAGTTTGGCCTTTGGTTTTGTGTAAATTAAATGCCACTTTAAAGCTGTCTTCCAATGCACAATGCATCTTTATAGTGTCAAAAAGAGAAAGAACGGAAAACATTTATTGCATTTTAGCATGCAACAAAAAGGGGCTTTGAACAGACTCAACCAAGCATGTTTGTGGAATATCATGCAATGGCAACAGCATCCCAGGCTTGTGCTATCGACACATCATTTTGCATTAGCTTCATGTCAGGTCCACGTGGGCATCTGAGGGTAAATCTGAGCGCATGGGCAGCGCAGCCTGGGAAAGTGGCAGAGTTTGACACCACGGGCGGAAGCGCATGAAGAAGTGAGATTGGGGAAATGGCACCTTTCAGTGGCGAACGCTGTTGAGTCACTCGTTGTGTTCATACAGGCCTTGCATCACTACACAAGCTTTTGCACAACTGCTCCAAACATGCTGAAAGAGCACAATCACGTTTTGTAAGAGGCCACAGATAAACCTGATACTCAGAATTAGAGGTGAAAAGTGTTGTTTTTTTACCCATGGTCAAATTATGCTGGTTTCTAACGGGCTCGATTCCCTCTTGAGTTTTAGTGTATGTTGCTTCTACGTTAAACAACTTGACTGTTGGGTGGAAATTGTGGTTTCTGTGATTGGGGAAAAAATCATTTGAGAGCAAATACATAATCAAGATTATAAAACAAATTCTTTAAAGGGGGCATAACACACACAGTTTCACCCAATCTCATGTTAATCTTGAGTACCTATAGAGTAGTACTGCATCCTTCATATCTCCAAAAAGTCTTTAGTTTTATCATATTTATAAAAGAAATATACAGCTTTACGATTCTCTCCGGAAAAAGCCGAGCTCCTGGAGGCGCGCCGTGGGCGGAGCTAAAGAGTGACGAGCACTTGAGCGCCAAATGCCAACAAAACAGACATTTGATGCCGTTTCACTTATCGTCTGCAGTTCTGAATCATGACCGGGATCTTTTATAGCTTTGACCGCTCCATCTTTCAGTATCAAACGATGTGCAAATCCAGTGTCGAACTGGGCCTTGTTTATAAAACGTTCGTCAACAAACACGCTTGTGAAACTCCGTTGCTGCTCCGGAAAAACAAACTGTATCCACTGTTTACATAACGCTCGGTTCTTTAGGAAGCTGAACACAGTTATCTTTCCCTTACAACCAAAAACACACTTCTTTGGAGACATTCTTCCCGAGCAAGTCCCGTGCAGCGCTGCCGCCGGATGAAGCGAGTTGATGGGCGCGATCTCGCTCTTGCTCTGATTGATGTGTGCGCGGGCGCGC